TACATAAGATATAGATTATTATTATTATTTTAAACGTGTCGAAAATTAGTGTAAACCACTTTGGCCTCAAAGTTCAGATGAGTTAAACTGCCCGAATGGAAAGCCTTGGTTTCTTATCATAATAGGCACATACGTTTTTCCAAATAATTATATGTATAAATTATAGGTCACGTTTTCCCAAATGCTGATACAGTAGAGGCCTACATATATAATGGGCAAGCAGTAATTAATGCTCAAATATATGAACGAATGATATGATCGTATCGAACATTGTCTTTCATAGAGAATCTACAACTACACCCCATTCATCATCATATACAGTAGCAAATATATATATCTGTCTCTTATACACATCTATAATAACTTATAATAATATATAATATATATATATATATATATATATAAGCAAATACGAAAAAGAAACGATTGCCTACGTTGACATAGACATAAAATTTATTCAAAACGAGTATTTTGGACACGCCTCACGTGTCCTTCCTCAGCGTTACACGTATGACTGAAAAATACAGTGCAATTCCAATAAAAACTGTAAAAAATTAAGCAAGATAAATCCTAAGATAATTAGGCATGCAATTAATAACTGAGAAGTGATTAAATAATAAACTGTCGGCAACATACCATTGCAAAATTCCAGTCGAGATATAACTAAAGCATGGACAGTAGCACCTTCACTGATTAAACTATCTTTCATTACTGATGTTGCGGAGGCAGTGCCTCACAGCTTTAAATACAGTATTAAATATGTTTCTCCAGAACACTTTGCGGAAAAAGATGTGCATATTGAGTATCAGGTGGTATTGTATGTCTTGGTATCTTACCAAGTGGTTTTATGTGTATCAAGAAGAGGACAGATCCCAAGTTAGAACCGTGTGGAATACTCCACGAATGACGGAATTAAAGAATTGAATTTACTTGTACTGATTACAAGATAGCATGACACATAAGAGCGAAGCCATGCCAAGAGAAAATGCAAGACACAACAGTTCCAGACAGCCAACAAATAAGAATGTAGGAAAAAATGGCCCCGGTAATTATGGCCCCGATAAAAATGGTCCAAAATGACAAGTAGCCCCAATGAAAAAAATCATTAATAGTAATACAAAATACAGTTACACAACAGGTGTAAATAACGTACTGAGAGATTATCGGAAAGCAATGGCCGTGAATAACATTTTTTGATATGTAGACATAAAAGTTTTAAAAACGTTATTCTACTAATAAAGTAGATGAATGACATACATACAGTATTTCAATTACTAAAATGTGCAACTCATAGATAACCACAAAATTCACTTTTTTAGTATCAAATGAAATAACTTTGAATTGTGTGTTTGAATCACAAGTTCATGTATGGGAAAAGGGAGAGGCTTACTTTCTCACAAACTTAGCAATAAATGTTCTGCTTAGAGTTTTACCCCAAAGAAGTATTTGTTAATCAAATATTTATTTAAGCAAATTAATTTGCATACTTGGTTTTTACTCCCTGCCAACTAAATCCAAGTGCCTACTACTGGCTCAGAAACCAGTGGCTATAATTGTTTTCTTTAAAAAAAACTCTCTTTTTCTTTTAAAATAATAATAATAATAATAATTTGATGTTCATATCAACCCATTTTTGCGGGGTTTAGCAAAACCCGGATTGAATTTCTGATTGTGATTCCGTGGCCACAAATACATTATTTTAGTATTAATAAATACATGATTTATGTTGATTTATTGATTAAATTGTTGCTATTTTTAACATTAAAATGGAAAAAAAAATTAAAAATGTTAATTATGGCTTATTTTTGTTTTCTTTGAATATGTAATTCCTGCAAAAAGTAAAATATAAATGGCAATTTATTTGATGTTAGATTCTTTTTAAAAACTAAATTATTTCAGTTTTTAAAAAATTCATATAATGATTTTTTTTAAATCAGTTTTAATACAGATCATAAGCTACACTGATACAGTGGCCTTTATCACAAAATGTCATTTAGCCCTTGAGAAAAGCAAATTCGGTGCCATGTCCCTTACGATACAGCATACGGTACGACATATCGGTAAATTCGACAAGATCGCCTAGTTTTCCTGCCTGAATTCCAAGCACAATTTCTTACGAATGACAGTTGCTTCTGTGGTTCTGGCGGACATGGAAAGTTCAGACCTTGAGACATATCATCATTTTAGTATTTTGTCTTTTAATTTACGGTATACGGTACATTACACACACTTTCATTTCATTTATTAGCCCCAACAGATTACAAAAAGAACACACCAACTAAAGACAGACAAAGGGGAGGCTGGCTTTCCAAAAAGAGATTCAAATCTCTGTCGAGTGGGTCGCCAGATTTACAGAAACAATACAAATATCAAAACAGTAAAAATAGACAAACACAAACACACACACACAGACGCGTCTGTTGGAAAGGCGAGGGTTAGAAGAAATGTAGTAAACAATGTACAGACTATAGAGCTTAGTTAGTTGTTATCTTTAATCAATGTCTAGAACTTTATTTTGTTGTAAGGTACAAACAACTATATTACATGTACCATGAAGTAAAATAAACCAAAAATATTCTAGAGTGCAAAAT